ATCGCCAACCCTTGGAATCAGTTACAACTTGGGAGGAATTTAAATTCCAAATTAGACGTTATTTTGAGCGCAAAGAGACTTATACTGCTACAATGGCGCGAATAAACACGCGTATTTGGAAGTCTCACACGGAAAAGTTCGTGGAATATGCGGAGGCCAAGTTGAATTTAATGCAGTCACTTACGTTAAACGAGAAAGAGAAAATAGAACTTTTGGCGGATGGGGCAAAGGATTTCGCCATCCGGAGATTGGTACTAAACACGTGGATTACTAATGTTCCAGATTTTATAGAACACGTAAGGAAAGTTACCGAGGATAGTGTGTCTATGCGAAGAGTGGAACCGACAAGCAAATATCCAGTGCGGAAAATCCCGGTGCCGGTACGTAAACCAAACGGCCCAGAGGAAAAGGTCTGTTTCACGTGCAAAAGACCAGGACATCTGGCGCAGAACTGTGCCGTCGCCAGACCAACCTGCTTTAAATGTGGCCAGGCTGGCCACCTAAGTACAACCTGCCCGAGGAGAGAGATCAACCGTGGATCGTCCCTCCACTACATGGGAACTCAGCACGAAGAAGAGGATGATGCAGTAGACTCGACACCGGAAGAAGACGCTTCACAAATTGGGCAAATACAGGCGGAAAACGGGGTAAAGCCCTACGTGCATATACAACGACTGAACAGTGGGGCAAAAATATTGGCCTTAGTGGATACAGGTAGCCCGATAAGCTTAGTTAAGAAATCGGTATATGAGAACTATTTTAAAAATCTAGAATTACTTAGAGTTAAGAAAGGCACTTGTTACAAAGGTATAAATGGATCGCCGGTAGTAGTGTACGGTAAAATCTACGACCAAATAGTTTTGGATAAGATACAAGATACGTGGTTTGATATTATTTTGCTCGTGGTAGATGACAAAACTATGCAATACGACGCCATAATAGGCCGTGATTTTCTGAACAGTTCTAACCTTAAACTTACATTCTACAACAATCAATGCGTTTTTGAATGGGTGGAGGAACAGGAGAAGTCGGGGCGGGACATTCTTACTATTAATGCGATAGAGAGTAGGGAAAGGTACGATGTTGTGATGGAAAATCTAGACAAAGACCTTAGCATTCAAGACCGTCACACGTTATTAGGTATCCTTAAAGAAACGGATGAAATGCAAACTCAACCAATTGACGATAATTATTTTGTATCTGTTTACTTAAAGGACCAGTCACTTTTCAGGTATGCGCCTAGACGAATGTCAATCAAAGAAAAAGAAGAGTTGCAAGAAATTATAGATGACTTGCTAAAAAGAGGCATTATTAAAACGAGTATCTCACCGTACTGCTCTAGAGTAATACTTGTGTCCAAAAGGAATGGAAAGAAGAGGCTTTGTGTTGATTTGAGACCTCTGAACCAAAGAATATACCCGCAAAAATTTCCGTTTCCGATTATAGAAGACCAACTGGATAAACTATCGGGTAAGAGAGTTTTTACTAAGCTTGACCTTAAAGACAGTTTCCATCAAATATCTATCAATCCTGATCACACTAAATACTTTTCGTTTGCCACACCTTCCGGGCAGTATGAATTTGTGAAAATGCCTTTCGGGTACTCAGAAGCGCCTGCGGAATTTCAAAAAAGGGTATTACAAGTCTTAGACTCATTTATTAGAGCCGGTAAAGTTTTGATTTACATAGACGACATTTTAATACCTACGATTACAATTACAGAGAATTTAACTATCTTAAAAGAGGTACTGGTATGTTTAAGGAAACACAATTTGGAATTGAATTTAGCAAAATGTACATTTTTGAGCAAACAAATTGAATATTTGGGATACCTGATCACGAGTGAGGGCATTACTATGTGTACACGTCACGTTCAAGCAATATTAGAGTATCCTCAACCAAAAGATATTAAAGAATTAAGAAGTTTTTTAGGTTTAGCGAATTATTTTCGAAGGTTCATCAAGGACTATTCTATCAAAACACAACCGTTGTAAGCACTTATGAAAAAAGATGTGGAATTTAGGTTTAATGAGGAATGCGAAGAAGCGTTTAAGAAAATAAAGAAGGAATTAACGACTCCGCCAGTCTTATGTATATATAACCCAGGAGCGGAAACCGAACTTCATACAGATGCGTATACCAAATTTACATGGTTGTTTCCTGTAAAATCCACTACCGCTGAGAAACTCATACAAACTCTAAGTCTTCTTTTTAATTTGTTTGGATTTCCAGTACGTATCATTAGCGACCGCGGATCCGCTTTCACTTCAAAAGATTTTGAAACTTTCCTAAGCGGCAAAAATATAAAACACGTTTTAACGGCAGTGGCATCACCGTGGGCCAATGGTCAGATCGAGCGAGTGCACCGATTCCTAAAGTCTACGCTAGCGAAAGCAACCCAAGAGCCGTCCAAATGGAAAGAGCAATTAGGAAAAACACAATATGTAATCAACAACACTTTACATAAAGCGATAAATTGTACACCTAGTAAAATGCTGTTAGGATATGACCAGCGACAAAATGACGATAGGGATTTGCAAACTCTAATTACACAACTAACTCAAATTGACATTAATATTGATCAAGAGCGCAAACGTTTACGTGATGCAGCACAAGTTGCAAACCGAGCCTTGCAAGAGTACAACAAAACACAATATGATAAAAGACACAAAAAGCCGACTCTATATCAAAAAGGGGACCTAATCCTAATAAAAATCTTGCAACCGCAACCGGGCAAAAATCAAAAGCTGCTCCCCAAATACAGAGGCCCTTACCAGATTAAGGAGGTATTAAAGAAAAATCGATTCGTTGTCACCGATGTACCGGGTTTTAACGTAACACAGAAACCGCTGAATACGATTTTATCCTCCGACAAAATCAAACCGTGGATAAAAATAGGCGATAAATAAGGCTACCAGAGTGAAGAAAAACCCTTTTGTTATTTCGTTATTCATATATATATTTATCATTTAATTTTCGCTATTTAGTAATATTCAACTATTTGTAAGTATCCTAGTTTTAAGTGTCAAACCAAGACTGAGTTTTTTTGTTTGTCTCATGTTACCGCGAATATTTGTATTTTAAGTTACCAAATCAATTTCCGTCGTTCAAGGACGAACGTACTGCCAGGATGGCCGAACTGTAAGCGCCAGATCGAAACCCCCATCTAACGCCAATCTAGCGAAATTCCGCGGCCAGAGATCGCGAAATAGTGGTGAAGGGAGGGGAAGGACATTCGACAAAAGGACCGTCGAGCGGTGTACGTGCGAGCGAACAGATTACTAAGTGCGAACGAAGGACCGCTTCGCCTAGCCAAGATAAAATTTTGTACAAGGAAAATCGCATTTGTATAAAAGGGAACTTATACAAAAAAAAAGGTGTTATTCCGTTACATCCCCTTTTGTTATACAAGAGAATAAACACTTGTCGAAGGAACGTACAAGGAGTGAAGGTTAATTACGCTGATTGCCTACCACGTGCTGGCCGAAATCTTTACAATATAGCCTCCTTTGTGTGCCTCGCCTGGGATTATCTCCAAGTGCTTCGCACTGGCGAGGTGCACAAGCTCGGTATATTGACGGTTAAACTATTGAAACTAACAAGAGAAAAGAAAAAGGAGAATTATAATTTTAATCTCAAACTCCTTTCTTGTGTTCTCCGTGAGGAATCACTTCCAAGTGCTCACGCACCCGACGGTAGAGCACAAGATCGGAGGACCGCGGACAGGTAACGAGGAAAAGAAATAAATTAGCAAGGCCCTTCCTTGCGCCCCTCACGTGGAAAGTTCCAGATGCAGCGCACCCGATGAGGAACGCAAGGTCGGGTTTATTGAAAATGTACCCGGACGTAACATACGACTTATTAATTACCAGGTTTGCCATACCGCAGTCAAATCGTTATTGGCAGTATATTCGGGTATTTTTAATTTTGCGCCGCCTCCGAAAACTTTAAAATGTATTTGGTATCCTATTTAACGATTAAGTAGATATTATTAATAGCTATGGAATATTGGTATAAATGAAATGGAAATTATTTGACACTTTTTAGTGCATTTCGAAGTCGGATTTGTTTTTTGTTTGTAACGTGATACGTTATCACGTGAATATGTTTAGAGTGCTATGGCGACACTGCCATGGGAATATTTATCGATAGTCTGTAGTATCGATATATCTCGAATATCAGTCGAGGACCTTTTGTATCGACGGTCATAAATTAAGAGCGAAATTCAAACATCATCTCTGCGTACACTTATATAAATAGACAAAGATTACATTGTAAACCCTCGACGTGGGTGATCGAGCTGAGAGAAGGCCGGAAATCCAGAGAATGGAATAGTTTCACTTCGAAAGTTCTTAAAAGACTAATTTATGATAGACCATAGCCAATTCGTTGTTTTCGACCAAGTCACGAACGGTCCTTAAAAGCTACGAAGTCTTTTCCGATATCCTGTCTATTCATGCACTCTGAGAGGGTCGTAAATTTCCTCGAGAGTTGCTTTGGCAAGTACAAGGTCTTGTCGTTTCCTAATTTCTCTGGGTCCCACGCTTTCTCGTAGCACATGTGCGCCGCAACATTCTAGCGTCTTGGCGGAGCGCCTCCACTTCCACCCGCCTGAGGGTGGACCACAGCCAGGAGAAGGGGCCCACACGAGACGGGGTGGACCCCTCCACCATTGGACGAGGGATGATCCTGAGGGAGGATCCAGGATCCACCAAGGAAGGGGCATCGACCGACAACGCGCGAAGATCTCCTCCGCCAAGCGTAGAACGTTCAGAATGATTTTGTCAGTCAATATAGACAAATCCTTCTCACGCGCTAAATTTAAAGCATTATAAACACAAAGTTAAAAGTCAGCCTAAATAGAACTTTAAAATATTAAAGTACAGTAAGCAATAATAAAAGTTTATTATTTTCACATCCGCGCCTTGCGAGCGGAGCGCCTCCGCGCTCCACGGATTGTCACGCCTGCGCCTTAATTCCCCAAATATCCCTATTTTCGCGAACGGACACGAAACATTGTTAAAAATTATTTTATTCTTTATAATTTTTTAATGAAACATTTAAGAGCCTATATTTATACGACATTTTTGTCTTATTTTTGCTTGTAGAATATGTTGGTAAAGTTTGGCCGGAAGAAAACTAGGACACCCTGTATTTATAATGTATACCGTTAGATGAATCAGAAATAGTCGTTCTATTGTGGAACAACACGTCACCAGCAGTCACCAGTAGGTGATATATTTAAAACGATAACGCAGATATAAGTGATTGATAAACTGAGAAAAATGAATTTACCAAATTATTATATCATTATGGAGGCCTATAATATTTATCGTTTTGTATAAATATTGGAATTGTTCTAACCTATTTTAATAAAAGCTTTTAATAAATATTACGTATGTATAATATTGTATGTACGTCTGACATTATTTTATGTTGTAATAGTAAAGTAACTCGGTGTTTATCTTCTAAAACTATTAAACAGTACTTTGTACTTTTATAAATGATATAAAAATGAAAATTCATAGAAGAAGGTGTTTCATATACCTACCAGTTTGTTATTTATAATTTGCATATCTCTAAATAGACAATTATTGTACAAAATATTGTATTTACACAAAAGAGGATATGGAGTCAAATGAAAGGAACCAGTTTTCAAATGGGAATGCTGGAAGCAATAGAGATATAGATTGGTCTAGATATGGTTTACATAATAATGTAGATATTCACAGGAATAATGAAAGGCAAAGAAATAATAGAGAGTATGAAGAACTCGCACCTGAGATGTATCAAACTGGAGCAAATGAATTGTTTGCTCAGGAATATGTAAGTAATTGAAATAATAATGTTGATGATTTTTTATTTCATGAAATTTATACTTTTCAGAGTGCTGATCCATGGTGGAAATCAAATTTCTTTATTTCTCAACCTGTATTGTTTGGAACATGGGATGGAGTTTTTACGTCTTGTCTTATTAATATTTTTGGAGTTATTGTGTTCTTACGATCAGGATGGATAGTAGGTCAAGCTGGTGTTCTTAATGCAATACTAATAATTTTTTGTACAGGTAAAACTGATTGTACTCTGTTGATAATAAGTTTGAGAACTTGGCAAATTGTAACATTTACAATTGTTTTAGTGTGCATCGCGTTAGTGACTGTATTATCTGCTGTCGGAATATGTGAACGATGTAGAGTAGAAAGTGGAGGAGTTTATTTTTTACTATCACATGTATTAGGATCAAGATTCGGAGGTTCTATTGGATTACTGTATTGTTTTGGACAGGTAGAAAAACTTCTGTAATAGCAATATCTGCAGTATTACCTTAAAATTATTTTTAGGCGGTGGGCTGTGCTCTAAATGTTCTAGGTTTTGGAGAATCTATGGCTGGTCTTGTGGGTTTAGAATCTGCATGGGCAGAACGTGGTTTCGCTTGTGCTGCCGTTATCTTGTTATCTATCATAAATGTTGCTGGTGTCAAATGGGTTATAAAGCTACAATTCATTCTTTTGCTAATTTTATTATTAGCTGGTGTGGACTTCATGGTTGGAAGTTTTATTCATGTGGATGTTGGTAAGCTGACTAATTTGTAGCTTCTAATTTAGTTATTAATAATAAGGGAAATAAATAATTATGTGTATATTTTTAGAGGCTGGCTTTGAGGGATGGCTGTCGGGAAATTTAAGAAACAATACTTTCCCTGCATATCAGGATGGATATAGCTGGTTTACAGTGTTTGGTGTATTCTTTCCAACGGTAACTGGTGTTTTAGCAGGTATTAATATGAGTGGAGACTTAAGACATCCATCCACAGATATTCCTAATGGTACATTGGCAGCAGTAGGGACAGGGTAAAAATGATAATATAAACATTCTTATAATTCATGTATTACATATCAAGAAGTAAAAGCTTAACTTCTTAATTTAATTTCAGAACTTTGTTGTATCTATGTTTTTTGCTATTTCTCGCAGCAACATGTACTCGAAATGCGCTTCTCACGAATTTTATGATAGCATCTACTGTATCAGCGATTTCAGTACTATTGTTAGCAGGTCTTTATGTATCATCATTTAGTAGCTGTTTGGGCGCGATGTATGGTACTCCCCGAGTTCTTCAATCTATTGCTAGCCAAAACGTTATTCCGGGAATGAGCTGCTTACAAAGAGGGGTATTTAGTAATTTAATAACTAAATTTTTCAACTGTTTAGTACGTTAATAAGAACATGAAATATATTTTTCAGAAAGGACCAAACAAAGTTCCAATATATGCTATGTTAGTTGTTGCTGTCGTTACATTGACTTTTATCATTACTGGTCAAATTAATACACTTGCGCCAATTGTTACAATGCCTTTTCTTTTAACATATGCATGCTTGGATTATGCATATTTTGCTCTTGCGCAAACATTTGACATACAATTGAATCGAGAACAACGATTTCGCACGCAATCCCCAACGTTTGATCGCAATTATAGTTCTGCAAGTAGGAATAATTCGATAACAGACACAGATAATGATTTGGACAATTTATTTCCTGAAAGAATAAGACACAAAAATCTGGTTGTAAGTATACATGAATATCCGATTGATTATTGTATTAGGATAAAAGTTAAAAGTAATGGTTTCCATTGTTTGCAGAGAAATCCCAGTCTTTCTGAAAACAATGTCTATATCGATTCTTCTCCAAGTATCGATGAAAATGGCAGTAATGTGGAAAATTCGGAACGAAAGATTCATATTCATAATAAACTAGGCAATTGGTACAGTCCTTTATGTAACAGATGGCTCTCCTTATTAGGTGTAGGTATCATGATACACTCGTGAAATCAGTTATAAAAATGTGATACTGATATCAATCTAATTTCCAGTGTCTTCTAAAATTGCTTATTATGTTTCTTGTCCATTGGGGTTACGCTATTGCCAATATCGTAGTCGTTTTTCTGGTTTGGAGTTACGTAGGTCATGCTAACCCTGCTGTAAAACCAGGAGTTTCGTCAGACTTTAAATTCTTCAAATGGTTAAGAATATCATTATTAAGGCTTATGGGGTAATTGCTAATATTCTTCTAACGATAAGAACTATTTTTTCTTTTAAATATGTGACAAAATTATTATATTTTGTTTTTTAACTATAGGAGAAAAATGTACGATTACGAACAAATTATTGTTACACCTGTACATCCAGGCGTTGAAACTTCTCCAACTCAGTTAAACGAAGAAAATGAAGATTTCGCCGGTAGACGAAGATACCATCAAACGGCTACAGTCACAGGGCAATACGTCAATGTTGATTAAATGCAGGATGCTGTAGAATAATTAGAATATTGAATGGAACAGAGTAACAGAATATTTTATCAAACAAATTGTCTGAAAATAAAATAAGAAGAAAGCGTTTTACTTTGTAACGCTAATGTCCGCACAAAACTAGTCTAATCAAAAATACTTCATATTTCAAGCACAAGAAATTCTTTTTATAAAACGAAACCCGGTAGCTTTAAGAAGGTAGAAAATAAACGATGCTATGCATATAAATTATAGAGAATAGTTTTATCACAACTTTTTGTAATAATTTACTCGACATGCATTGAATGCTGTAGAAATAATATACTGCCAAAAGCATTTCTAAAATCGAGGGTCCATATATAATCAATGAATTATTTTAACTACCGTGTCTTGTAATATAAGATTATTTATTCTTTATAATCTCCGTAATTTATATTAGGATTAAATCGTGATTGTAAGTATGGAGGTATTGAAAACGAATGCAGGATGTCATGTTAATTACGATATCATATCGATTATAGCAAATACTCTGTAAATTCGTAGTGATACTATATTTATGTTATTTAACATTTTTGTAAATCTCACTGCAGAGACAAGTATGTTATTAATAAAATATACATATAGATTAATAAATAACATTTGTGTGTCAATTTTATTTTAATATTATCTAATTAAATCAAAAATAAATGAAGAAATCAAGGTAAGTTTATAATTACATATTTGAAATTATTTAAAACTACGGCTACGATCAACTGAATGTCAAGATACTTGCTGATAATAATTATGGAGTATAATACATATTTATTAATTTTTTAATATTAAATAACCATATATAAATTATTATTAATATTTTTAATTATTAAATTATTCAAGCAAAGTAAAATTGATTTTGAAACAAAACTCTTAATTTCAAATTTATAAAATAGCGCGCCAAATTTTAACTATGGTTGATTTCCGGCATGATCGTCGACGCATGTAGTAGGTACGCCGCGACAGTTCTATTCGAAAAATTCGAACGGAGTGTACGTGTAGGAAGTCGTATTGAAAATATAAATATCGCAAGGCCATTTACTTCTTACGAAGGTAAAATTTATTAATTAACGAAAGGAAATTATTATGTAAGCTTCGAAATGAATGTTATTTCTTATCAATTTCGTTTTCCTACAGTCTCAGAATTTTCGCTTGGTTGAGCACATCGAAACTTTGCAAAATGGCTAACTGTTTATTTTTCAAACATTATTAAGAACAGCATCGGTTTTATTATAAAATAACGTGCTCTACTTTGAATATTTTCAAGAGTGAATAAATCGCAACTAAGATCTCCTCTATTGTCTTGGGGGGCTTCGCCCTCCACCCCCCCCGCCCCCAAACCCCTTTGGGACGGACTTTTTTAAGTACTTCGAAAACACATGTGGGAAATAATGAATGGATAGTATATGTAGATATAAGCTTAATACAGTCAAATGCTAAATGGAGCACATATTAGTCATTTATTCATTTAGACTTTCATTCAAGGGATACATAATTGCCATTATTTTGAAAAACGCATCTAATCTTTCAGAAAAATCTGCACTACCGATTTTCTGATTATGTATTATTCTAATTACGGATAGGTCCCAATATTTTGTTAATTGAACAGTCACGTGGTTATTGGTTTATGATGGATATTGAAAGCAATATATATTTTACCTTAATTGTACATATAGCCAGAGAGCCGGTAGTACACCACTTATTTTTATGTATACTTCATGATAATATATTTTAAAAATATTTTAAATATTAAATGATTAGTGTGTATTCTTGTGTAATTAATAATTAAAAAAAAAAAATGATTTTATGAAAAAAAAAATTGGACATTCATGGGGCGCGAATCTGCGACATAAAAATTTCCAGCGGTTCCGCGGTCGGACACCTTAACCAATCAGCCACCGACAATGTTGAAAAATTGTCGAATATTTTAGGAAACACGGTGCGTAATTTTCAATTATTTACAATAATTTCACTCTCTCCATTCAGATCTTGCTCCGTCCAGTGCAGAAATGTTAGAAATCACATAATGCACTAAGTGTGTAAAGGAAATGTAAAAATTGAAAGTATTTCTCATATTATCGCACGAAATATGTCGAAAATATCGGTTTTTGATTTTTTTAAACACGGCGCACCCGACTGAAAAATCTGAAAAAAATTGAGGACAGCAGTCATGCTAATATCTAACTACTGTGAAAGTAAAAATCTAGTGTCTCGAAAGTTTCTACGCTAAATCTCAATTTTTCAACTTTTTTTCGCGTTTTTGATTTTTCACGTCTAGGATTTGCAACCGAAAAATCTGAAAAAATTCCCAATCATAAAGAAACATAGCTAGAATATTCTAAAATTTTTTCAGATTTTTTGAATGCCATTATACAGGGAAAATATGACAAAAACCACTTTTTCTTTCTCACCCTGTAACTATCCTCCCGGTTGAGATACAGGGTTGAAACTTGGTGTACAATGGCTTTTTATTATAAGCTATAAAATGGTGCATTGCTGAATAAAATCGGCTCAAGGGCACTTTTGACCATCTTATCCTGCTATACCCTTTGTAAAGTCGTTGTTGCTTCAACTTAATATTTATTGTAAAATTTTGCTAAACGTTTTATATCAATTTTACATTGTTATGAAGTATATCAACATATTACAAATTTCTAAATAAACCCCACTATTTATTTTACTTTACTAATATAAAATTATACAGAGTGTTCCAGGTCGAGTAGTACAACTGGACAGGAGGTGACTCTAAAAGCAAACATACGTAAGGTGAAAAAAATTACGTGTTTTTCGTTTGAGCTTTCGTTTTCCAGAAAATTGAGTTTGAAAATTCGTCGAGTACATGTACAATATATATTCATAAGAAAAGTACCTCATTGATGTACCTCACTGATTTTCTTCATTTTGTGATATGTTGCAGTACGTAAAAAAATGTTAGACTTGTATTTTTTATACGTACTAATGTGTTCAATTAAGGGCTGAAAACCACTATCAAGGGTTATCACAAAGAACTGCTTTTTCTACATATCTCGAAAAAGAATTGGAATTGTTTGATAAAGTTAACGGCAAATTATTATTTATCATAAAAGGACGATATTACGGATATTATTTTTATCCTAAAGGGTTGCACCCCCCCCCCCCCCCCCCCCCCAACTTATATAAAGAAAAATAACATTTTCCTAACCCTTTTTTCAAAAACGGAAGCTTAAATAGAAAAAAATGTCTTCTTTTTTTCCGGCTTATTTCTGCTTATAGAACCATCCTCTGCCCGGTTGTATTATCCGACCTGAGACATCTTGTATATTGTATGTGATCTGTTACTCTTATATTTATATAAAATTAAGTAATTTAGTAATTTACACACCATAACTGCTACGGTGAGGATATGTTATATAATTGATACATAGATGAAGAGGTATTTTAACCTACATTGTACCAGTTACGGTTTAAGTAATACCGAGTAGTCGATCTTATATGTAGGTACGTTTCACGATACCTTAAACAAATCTGATGTATAGCTCGATTATGTTTCGTCTGCGTACTTGCATACCAGCTATTAATTGCTCTAGATTCAGTGAGTATAGTACGAGGTTAAACCCTGAGAGCTTCGGAAGCCTGGAGGTTCGCGGCGATCTCGTGGTTGGCCACGATGTTTAACCCTCCCTCGTGCACTAGCCTCTTACGCGGTTGCGTTAAAATCCTCGATGGCGTTAGAATGCTAGATAATTAGATATGGTGTATTAACACCTATTTCTGATAATTCAGACTAGATTATATTCTTTTCGTTATAAACTTACCACAGAGTGTAGTAGTTGCATTTCTTTGAACATCGGATTAAACATTAAGCTACTTCTTAAATTTAACTCTTTGCGGTCAAGGACTTTTTCAAGCGTAGTTGAATATATTTTTTCGTATAAAGCAATATCATGTACTGAAGCGTGGAATCTTATTTTTCCTTATTTTGCGACATATTCATTCCTTAAATATTTCCTTCGCCATAAATCGTTAACTATTAAGAATATCAAAAAATGGTTCGAGTAAATGTTATCCAGTTTGATAAAAGCTATTTAAATGAAAAGAAATTAGTATAGCATCCCATTTAAGAAAGGTGACGTCAATTTAGTCTGATCTCATCGTAGTCATTCTAGAAAAATTTTGTATACACCACACGATCAGGCATTTCGTATCATTAAATTAAAAAAAGAAAGTTAGGTCGATAATTGCTTCAGTTTTTGAGATAATAGTTTGTAACACTTTATCTGACTTACTCTGTATTGAAGAAAAAATTTTTTAACCAGTTTTTCTTAGTTCCTGTAAAATTAGTAAAAGTTGAGCTGCCTGGTTTATTATAAAGTAATGACCAACTTACTGTATTAATTAATTTATTAGATAAAATTAAAAAAATTCTTAGGAATATTCCTGCAGGGATATTAATAACTGATACCTTATTTTGGAATTGAATTAAAGGATAATATTGTACAAATTTCGCCTTCGGCAACTGTTTGCTCATCCTTTTTACATCTTGTTCGATTGTTAAAGATTGCACGTGACCTGATCGAACGAAAAATCCCTATATTGGATTGGGATAAGTAGAGGATCGATGTAATCGAATAAAAACACGATATAACTTACATAATGGTATGGAAGTTTCGGTAGGGTGAGTTTTCGTCTTAGGACGAAGGTAATTCTTATGAACCCTGTGCGATCATTCCGAGCTAAATTCATTCGAACAACATTTATAAAATAATTTAACAACCCTCGAACAAATGGTCACGAGACTGTAGCGAACGATCGGCCAGCATTCTCCCTTCGTTTCTCCTCGAGATGAGAAGACGCTACTTCATCCTGTCCCGCTGGCTCTCCCTAGTAGGTGGCTAGGTGTCAGGTTGAAAGAGGAAGGGTGTAGGCAGAGCGAAGTGCACGTTGGGTGACGTTGGGTGACGGTTCCGAGTGGCGACCAGGCGGGAGGGTTAAAAAGGGGGGTTGTTCCTCGCTGTTGGGCAGTAATGGCGGCTGGTGGGGCGGGAGGTGAAGGTAGGGGGGTCGCGTTCATCGGTGTGGGATCCTAGTTGGATGCCGGATCCACGGTGGAAACTTCAGTACGCGATCAACCACCGACGCGTGTTTACGGTCGGAGCTCCAGCGGAAGCTGCGAGGCTTGGCTGCTGCGGGGGTGAGATTCTTTTTATCAACAGTTTTATTTGAAATTGTTCGTTATCATCGCGATGGTTCGTCACCACCACGATGGACATTCCTGGTGAATTCTCCTTTGGATTTGATCGAAAATCGAAGGAGGTTTGACTCATCTTTAAATCGTTCGACGAAACCACCACCATCGTTTTTCGTGAATTTTCGTTTGGATTTCATGGACAATTGTCGGAGGATTGTATGAGTGTATGGTGAAGGGGAAAGAGAGGGAATTGCTGGTGGAACGCGGAGGATCGCCACGTGTTCAGGAGACCGGCTCGCGTAGCACAAGTATCTGAGTTTCATGTTAAAATTTGAAAATTTTTTTGATAAGATGTTGATATGGTGTCATGGGTTAGGTTTGTGAACTGAATGCAGAGTGAGCTAGATTTTGTTGAGATTTAGTGAAATAAGTATTTAAAATCTATTAACTTGATTTGTTTTTGGCAAATTGTTAAATTCATTTTTGAGTTTATATTCGGAGATTTTAAGGTACAAAAATATTGCATGTTCAATGTTAGGACTTAAAAGAACTCATGAGACAAGGAAATGTCTTGATTTCTTATCAATCTTTGATTTAGCTTTTAATACCTTAAAAACCATTCAATTTTTGTTGAAAAATATTTCGTCTATTTCCAGTAGTTACCGAGTTAGCTTTTAGGGGGTCGAATTTTTTACAGTGATTTCACCCTTTAAATCTGAATTACTGCAGTTAAAAAAAATATGTATATATTATTTTTTACTGTTCTTGAAATTTGTAAAGTTTCATAAAAATTGGAGCCGGGCGTTTGAAATTTTGTCTTGTGAGTGACGCTTGAATATTATAAGAGATTCTTTGCTTATTTAATTAGAAGCAGTCGCATTAATTATCTAAAGTGTTGATAGTACCAAAAACTTTAACAACGATTTTGCTCTCTATTAAAATCCTTTCAAACCTCATCCTGCACTTGATCCACATTTATCTTTTTCAAGATACTAAACAATCTTCTTATTGCGTTTAACCCTTGAATAGCAGAGTTTGGGTCAATCGTGATCCAAATTCACAAAACATTCAACTAAAATTAAATATATAATTTTTAAACGAAAGAGTTTTATACATTAGAGGAATCAATTTTAAAGGAACAGTGTAAAATAATATGAAATACAAAATTAAATTAAAATTGGTCTCTACCCCATGGTCCGCCGTCCAAAAGTTAAACATATTCCGGTATGTTTTTAGCGTCGCGAGGAAGCTTGAGAAAGTTGTCAGGAGTTATGAAGTTTAGTGCCTCCTCAGGGTCAAGGATTCGATATCCTAAATCTTTGATGTTCCTAGAGCATCGCGTTAACTATGAAAAATGTGAAATATGTTCAATGTGAAATTTTCGTAAAGGTTTTCTCAAAAGTTTCAATATTAGTATAATGCAATCTAGAAGACTTGTGAATTTCTAATTTATTGAAAGATACTAAATCGTCCACTGCATATTTATTAGCTTTAATTATTATTATTAATTTTAACTAATTGTTAGTTCTCGATATTTAATCACACCTCAAACAGAAGAAAATAAGAAAAATAAAATCAATAGAGTCTTTGAGACTCCGCCTTGTCATTAGTGGGTCAAATAAATAATATTTCATAAAAACGTACATTTACATAGACACTCGCAGTTTAACTATTATATCACATTTAGTAAACTGTGTTTTTGAACGTTGAATCGAATTGATTGGGGGGGAGGAGATCCTCAAACGTACCGCAGCATCAATCTTCATCCGGTAACGTCAGCGAGGAGTATTTTCGTCGAGAATATCCCTTGGAAAGGTTTGATTCCAATCTGTCATTCGGAACGAAGGAAATAGGTCAACTGAACTGTTTTCAAGGGGCTGTCTCTCGCGTAAAAATTCGCAGTACGTGGTAATCGTTCGAAGCTGTCGTTAAAAAAGGGTAGTCGAGAGAAAGGGAGAGAGAAAGAGAGAAAAAAAAATGAAATCACACCCTATTCGAGGATCAGCTTCTTTTCAATTCGAGCTCCCTTTCAATTCGTCCGACCGATTCTTCTCGAGAGGATATTTAACACACCGCCGCGCCGCGAGGATTGTCGCGCGACACGTGACGAAAGAACTTTACAATAATTCCTAACACGAATTACAAATATGGGTCGTCGTTCGATGACTATTTCATTGATTTAACTTGCATTCTCGTGAATTGTTGAAAGTTTTCTTTTTGTTATTGAAATTAACCTTCAAAAAATGGACATTCGGTCATTTTTATCTTTAATTATGACCCTACTTTATGCGAATTTGAATTATGTGGCAGAATTATGTGGAAAATTTTAAGTACATATGTGAATATTATATTTTTTGCATAAATTGACAAATAAAATTTCTATATTTTGCAAAATTTATTTTTGTACTCGAATCAAAGTGACCTTATAATTTATTACAATAGTTTCAGAAAAATAACATTAATATAAAGGAATGTAAGAATAATCAGATGTCAGCATAAATTTCTTTCAGAGTTTAAATAGCTTTTTAATCAGAGACTTGTAACGACCCTTTGCCAATTAAAAATGAAAAGTCGAACGCGTTTCCTTATAACAGAACATTTGATTGGATCACTTTCGATGGATACGAGGGATCAATAATCCCGGAGATATTCGAGTTCATGGGGAAGAATGGTTTTTGGAATTCCTCGTAAAAAAACACATATACATAGGGGCCGTTTTTATTTCGAGTCGTAAGAACTTTATTCGTGGCGTAGCATCTATAAAATGATCGTAAACCGTCACGTGCGCGCGTAAAAGGTATTTCGAATTTTTCCCCGTCTTCAGGATATCGTACACGACTGATTGCAACGTTTAATGTTCACGGTTTTGTCCTTAGAAAAATTTTTTTCCTTAATGTTGCAAGCAAACGCTGAAATTACATCGATGTGATATTTTTTTTTCATAGCGTTTCGAAGTTTGTTACAGTCCCCATTATCGTGAAACTATCTTCCATGTCGTAAAATCGAATTTTTATGCGAGGAGTTAAAAGGAGTAAACTGCTTTTTGGTCACTACATTTGGAAATACCAGTTCAATGTTTTTAAACTTTCTAGAATAGAATGTCTGAAAAGGTATATAAATTTTATTTTCTAAGTGCTTGATATATAGTTTATTTTTATTTATTAGATCTACAAATTTTAGCATTACGTTTTTTTAATTACTATTTTGAATTTGAATATTTTCCCGCGCTTCTGTGGTTTTGAAAAGTGAAGCGAGAATATGATAATTATATAATGTGATATGATAATGATAACTCTTTAATTAAAATAAAGAAAAAGCATCTAATTATATGTATATTAATTTCAATTTGAAACTTGGTAATTTTGTATTGTACACCCGCGATAAAATCAGGCTTCCCTAGAGAAAATAGTGATATAGGACAAGTAGGAGTTCTCAAAATACGATATTAATATTAAAATAATATTGTATAATTTTTAATTGTTTTATATTATAAAATTTAGTATACATATACCTGAAAAGTACGGATAATGAATAAATTTAAATTCAAACTTTCCCGCGTAAACGTTTACACTTTTACATCCACATGATAGGGCCAGGCTCCTTTATACATATACATGGGTTTCTTTCGTTCCATCGTCATTCTTCCTGGAAAAGCCTACAGAGAAGGGTAAGAACCAGGGATATTACCGTTTTCCCCAAGAGAGCCTAATTTAATCGCGAATGTACATTACAAAAAGCTTTCAAACGTAATCCTCTCACTAATGTATACTTTTTTAATATAAACAGAAATCCAAAATTACAATATCCGTGGGTTCCATAAAATATGCCACTACCAAAGTGTTACAAATAAAAGAATCGATAGAATCTAAAATAATTAAAATCATCCCTTATCTGACAATTAATCTCTTCGAACATCTGATTTGTCAGCAGCTAGTTTCAGTGTCAAGGTAGTCAATGAACACACATCGTAAGGGGGTTGTGGGGTCTGGGTCCGCAACAGGAGTATTCGAAACTTCTTCGGTAAGAACGCAAGGAACGTGGTATTAGGAGGGGTGCAGTATCATGGTGGTTGGTGGTGGTGGTTTGCGGTGAAACACACACCGGTACGCCCTCTCTCGTGCTGTTGGAGTGGCGTAAAAGTGGTAGTGACATAGCCGTATCATAGTGGTAGGTGTAGTAGTAATAGTAGTACGATAGTACAACTCTATGTCTGGCGAGTCCATGAATGAACGAGCACTTCGCTTTCGCGCGAACGCTAATGGGCATCCTTTCTCGTGCAACGAACCGCCCCTAGTATTTTTGTTACATCGCCGTTTCCCGGCATCTGTTAGCACCCTCGCAAACTATCCCTCTCTATTGCCTACCGATGACCATCGATGACTACGTGGTCACTTTTATCCGGTCCGATGATTATGATTATGATGATTATGATTCGTTGTTTTATAATACTTTTAATTCTTTGAGCGGCGAATCTAAAAACATTAGCGGTGAATTTTTATAGGGGTGAGAATTGGGCGTGATAATCTGTATGAACCGTTCACTCGTTCTTTCTTTTTTTTTAGGTCTCAGTATTTATATAGAATTTGTAAAATTTTATGTAGTTTAAATATTTAAATTATTAGAGGAAAAGAAGGCATTATGGGGGTGTGGGTATAGGAAGCTTAGGAGAACATCATGAAATCAAATTCAGTTAAATTTTTTTTTTATTTTCACCTTTAATCACCTATTCAGATTTTAGAAAGGAATATAAAACTGGAGAGTCATATTATCACCCTTTCCCTTAAGTATTATAATCCAGTTAATGATTACACAATTAGGTGTTCACATCCTTGGCACTTCATATTGCAGTATGTCTGACCAAGCACGATCTTTACTACTGCGCCAGTCAACGCGCTACTCACTCAATATTATGTACTGAGGACAATCATTTTACTGTCATAAAGGATCTTTTTCTTTTCTATTAAGATCATGAATAATGTTATAATTTATAATAGAACTATCAA